CCAGTTTATTTATAGTTCAATGGGCAGCACTGGATGAGGGTACATATGCTCTGAACATTCATAAGTCATTTACTCTTTCACATCCATCAGAAGAAACAAATAGCACCACAATCACAGCAAAAATTAAAAACATAAACGGGCCTTAAAAGATGCAGGATTTTTGGGCATTTACACTCGATATAACTTGTAGGGTTTGAAGGGTTTTGTTGGTAGTAAGTAAGTAAGTAAGTAAGTAAGTAAGTAAGTAAGTAAGTAAGTAAGTAAGTAAGTAAGTAAGTAAGTAAGTAAGTAAGTAAGTAAGTAAGTAAGTAAGTAAGTAAGTAAGTAAGTATAAGTAAGTAAGTAAAAATTTTATTTCACGATGGGAACTGCGAGTGTGAATTTTATACTTTAATTAGACCTAAACTAGGAACAGTTGCGAAAAATGCAACTATAGGCCCTCTATAGCAGGAATTGAACCTGCGCGGCCCTGCGATTCCGGGGCAGCGCTTTAACCAACTGAGCTACAGAGCCCGGTTGTCTCGGTTGTCAAGCTCTAATCACAAGTTCTTGTATACAGCTATTTCAATTAAGATTGTCCCCGAGCAAAGCGGAAATTGATACCTTTTTTTCAGAAAGCGATAGATGACTGAAAAACAGCAAACTTCGCATGGCTATATTATCCGCATTTTACAACATTTCGCAACGAAACTTCGGAATATTACTACTTTTGTGATGCTCTTTCAAGCTGTGATGAAATTTTTGTCTAGACTTGTCTAGATCAAAATTTTGTTCATTAGGTAATAGGTCCAATGGATGAAATGCCCAAAATCCTGATATTTATCCCGTGGATACGCTATCCAGGTCGCCTTCATCACAGAGGAGAGATATACAGAGAGGAAACAGACACCTCGATAACCTCAATTTTTGTGTCACGCGTTCCACGCGTCACGCAAAATCTTCCAGCCAGTGCCGTCGCTGAAATTTCATAGCAAAAGATAGGGAAAACGCCGTTCAAAAGGTGAAAATCGCTTTTTTAAAAAAAATGAGATACCCATGGAACTTTTGTTCAATAAATTATTGTAGAATAACGGTAAGTGATCACTTTTATTGATTTCCTTTTATTAAAAGTGTTAACATAACATTTTATTTTGCAAAAGTTGTTTTTTTCCATATCTACTTCTTACTAAAATCGTGAAAAGCACTGGCTGGGAATTTCAGATGCTCATATATAAAAAAACAAAGCAGCAAATGATATAAATTCCTCAAAATATAACTCTCGCATAAAAAAAAACATGTTTACTTCTATAAAAAATTACGGGAACCACTGAGTATTTTAATAAAATATAAAACAACACTTTCAACATATCAAATCCATTTTAGAACTGTATCCAGACGAAGAAACTAACCCAACTCAAACTTGTATACTTTCAGAACTTATATTTACTAACTCTAAGATTATAGACAGAGCTGATCATTGGTCCTTATTGCTATTTAAGGAAGCACTTGCCATTAGACGACTTAAACCTGATCTTAATCACGGAACTAAGGCATCAAAAGAACTTGTAATATTTAACTAATCGTTTCTGCATATATCAAATTACTTAATCTTCACTATATATATATATCGATGTAATGTAACCTAGCATCATTCCTGATGATGACTGAATCTTTAGTCGAAAGCTAGAATATTATTAAAATGTTTATTTTCGGAGTTACCGTTGTTTTATATTTTACTTCTATAATATGTATAGTTTTTTCCTATGCATTGTCAAAATTTAATAAAATAGTGAATTAATATAATTTTATATAGTAATTAGACTGAATATATCGGCGTGACACAATTTGTCGTGTGTTTCCTCTCTGTATATCTCTTCTCTGTGCCTTCATAGAACAGGCTCAAGATAATGCTGTTTATTATATACACAAGGTCTGGATATGAGGTATTCTGCAATCTGATTGGTTCTCTACTAGCAGGATATTAGCTCATATCCTGCTAGTAGAGAAAAACAAAATGGCGGCCAAACTGAATTCACGATGTATGGAAACGAGAAAACGGCAAGTTGTCGCTTTTTATAGCCTTCACAGGATTAAAAACACAGTGAAAAAACTCCCAAAAATTGTTCACAAGTTTAGCAAATGAATTTTTAAAATTTAGAATGGTTAAAAGAATATATTTTTGAAAAAATAATCGGCCGAAAGAGCGAAGATAAAAACATAAACAAAACAGAAAAATATTGAAAATATCGGATAAGCAAAGTCTGTGAATTCAGACCTTGTGTATATAATAAAACAGTTATTCCACTCACTCTCGTCGAATATGAGCGATAGCCGATTCGGCGCTACGCGCCTCATCGGCTATCAGCTCATATTCGACTCGAGTTCGTGGAATAACTGTTAAATGTATTTATTACTATTAATATCGAGCTGTTGAGTCAGAAAATTAAAGCACATCTACTAACTTGATACACCACTTTTCCTGTGGTTGAACATTGGGGAGTGTTCCACGTATTACCACAGTTTTTCCATGGAACTTCTGAGCGCAGGGACTGGGAAAGATAGTAGAGACACCAGGCAATGATGACATTATAATACACAGTGCAAAGAAACGAGACGATCATCATGGAATAACCAATTCCTTGAAGAGAAATTATTTATACTGTTAGTTCTGCGTATGTAAAAATCCCACAACTTGTCAACAAGATCTGTTCGCAACAGGTTTGTAGCAAGCTTGTCAACAAGTTGTAACAATGTTGTTATTTTATCAAATTGCTACAAGGTTGTCACTCACAACTTGTTGACAAATTGTTGAATTACAGGACGATAACAAGTTGTTGGAACAACTTGTAGGCCTAACAAGTCGGTTAAGCTTAACAACTTTGTAGGCAAGTTCTCATCAACAAGCCGTTGACAACTTGTCAACAAGCTGGGAAGCAGTAGAGTGAATACATCCTGTTGACAAGTTGTTGGAACAGCATTGCTACAAGTCTGCTGCAGGTTCGTTACAACTTGTGCGTTTTTTACGTATGTTCAGCTACAATGGAAGGGTCAGTCCAGGCAAATTCCAACCCACTCTGTCAACAATCCTTGTGAGAGAAAACCAGAGTACCCGGAGAAAACCTAAGGCCAATGTCGTGTTCTTGCTTTGTACTTGGAGGACTGGAGACGAGATTCCATAACTAGTCTGAAATATTAATTTCAAGGTGGCTTTTTAGGGGGTTTTCAGTGATGTTAACCTCAAGCTTACATAATGGTTTCTAGCTTGCGTGACAACCTCTGCCAGGCAGGCTATTATGGTTGCCTGGAATGCAGACAGAATACAAAACAACACAAATTTTAATTTACACTTTGCATTATCGTAACTTCGAAAAGAAAAGAAAAGCAAAGGCCATACTGATTAACACCATGGATACCGAATTGTTGAATCAAAATTAGTACAATTAGATTGAATTTAGCTAATTAGATTGAATTTAGCTAATCAACCAAAAGACGTTTTAGCTAAAATTTGAAAGCAACAGAATTGACCAGTTATAGACGAAAATGCCAAAAATATGTGTCGTTTTACAGTGGGATTCAGTTATAAAACCTTTCAGTTGTAAAACCTTTACTTAAACATAATACAATGCCCTAATAATATTTAGCCATCAAGTATTTTGAAGTGGACAGCTTTAATCACGCCAGAAATGAGTATAATTAATTTATTAAGTCAAAATACGAATGCCCGTTTTTTTTATAACAATAATAAGTTAGACAATTTTCGGCATTTTTGCTTTATGATAAGACAGGCTTTTCAACGTGAATTGTGAATGAGTGACGACGTCTGTTAATTGCAGGGCAAAATAGCCATTAAATAGAAACTAAAGTGAAGCGAGACAAGACAAAGGGTTGTCTAACACATGTAAATAATTCATTGACGTGACACAGCAAGGTGCCATTTAACCTGTGCAACTTTGTCTCGGGCAAAATGGAGTGCTTTTTCAAATTAAAAAACAACCTATATATTAAGTCAGTGAAACACTTAAAAATTGAGTGCTTTTTTCATTCGTGTTATGCGAATAAGGAAAGACAGAATGCAAAACTTTAACAACTTAATGATTAGTTTTAGGCTCCTGAAGGTCATTCTGTTAATCCGCAACGTAAATAGATCGAAGCCGAATTGTAATAACGATTCAATGATAAAACCTTTCACAAATACAGTAGTATTCTTGGTAGACTAATACAACTAGACGTTTGAAACCATCTGAGAAAAATGACTATATACAGCACAGTTGACAATAAAAAGTACATTTTTTTGGTATTTGATCTTGATTCTTGTTACAATAGTTCACCGAATTGTTGACATTTGAATTATGTCATCAATATTGATTTGATTGGCAATACGACACCGCTACCGTGCTATCAACAACTTAGAAAAGTTGCGTTATTATGCCATACACAAAATAAGTTTAACACAAGTTGCATGCCAATGCCACTAGGCACTACAAGACGAGCATGAGGCAGTATTTTCAACACAGTTGCAAAACCAAGCTTTTGAGTTTTGCGTAATCGTAAAATCAGAGAAAATCTGGATGACATTGTCTTTTATTAGTAGCTAAAGTATTGACAAAGCTTAGTTCGTAGCTTAACTTTAAGTCAGTCGGAAGTTTGTGTAAAAAGTGACACCTGCATGAGCAAATACTACCGATGTTTTTTTATTTATGTTTAATATCCGATTCGAAGGGCATATACTTTGTCTTTGAAGAACATGCATTCATTTAAAGCAATATGGTCGTGTTTCTGCGATAACGATACTCTTTGTCTGCGTTGATAGCATGTGGACCTTTGTCCTTAATTAAAGAGCATGCTTCACTTATGGCTACATGCTTGCCTGCAGACTGCGAGCAGGAACCATTGACAGCCCACTAAGGGCCTGTTCATATGATCCCGCTTACCGGGACGTCTCGCTTACCGAGACGAATATTTCCGTGCGTTCATATGGAGTATTTCGTCCCGCTTGCCGAGATGAAATTACATTGTAGTTCTATAATTAGCGTATGCAAAACTTCTACATTTCAGTCAAGCAACACAAATACTTGGCGATTTTCAGTGTTTTTCTTCGTTTATTTACAAGAAAAAGTATTGCTTCAGGTTGTTATTTAATACTTGTTTACAAAACAAACATAAAACCAAGTAAAAAGTGTTAAATTAAACTGGCAAGACTTGTTTCACTTCATCCCGGTAAGCGGGCTGGCGTGTTCATATGGAAAATTTTTCATCCCGCCTACCTATGATCTCGGCAAATTCAAACGAGATCTCGGCAAGCGGGCCAGCTCGCTTTCTCATATGAACACAATGCAAAATTTTATAGGAAAATAGATAGGCGGCGAGATCATCGGTAAGCGAGACGTCCCGGTAAGCGGGATCATATGAACAGGCCCTAAGAAAGATACACAATTCATGACATACAAAGAGAATAACAAGCCGCTCTGTTGTATCAAAGAAGGTTAAAAATAACACAAGAAATGAAAGCCCTTTTTCAAAAACAAATATAGTTATCAGCGTAACTTGCATTCCGAGGTTCGTTTATTTGAATCTGGTCTAGTTGTCCTATGACATGCATATCATTGACACATTAAGGTATAAATATCGTAGATGATTGAGTGCATTACACCACAAAGTAAAAAATATGCAAGTTTCATTTTCACTGTCACAGGTTCTCCCGAGTTTCACGCCTGCATTCCTGTTCATCTGGCCTGGGTCATATGACATGTATATTATTTATCGTTACACGTTTTGTGCATTTAAAACCACTTTAACACCTTTCGGTTCCCATTATCCATCAAAACATTAAAACATCACGGATCACTTTTGCCAATTTCAACAACAACAATAGATTTTACAAACTTTCTTATGACGTAAATGGAAAGAAATTCTGTCTGTCATGTAAGGAGCACCATCTTATATGAACCTATACACGGCCTTATATGACCTTATATGAATGAAGCCGCGTTCATTTTATCTAGCCGTGTTTTTCCATTTTTGGCCGCGATAACACGGCCAACACGGCCCTCTAGCTAAGACCCTGGGGATTGAGATGGTGCATTACACCAAAATATCAAAAAGTTGTTGAATCAAGGCCGCATTTTGTTTTCCAAAACCATAGAAGTATTTCTTGTGCACTTGTCAAGTTTTCTTAGGCGGCCGTACGCACGAACAATTTTTCCTTGTTCAAAAGACTAGCTTTGCCTGCTTTGGAAAAGATTCCTTGTCAAAGAAAAATTGTCAACGAAAACTTTGTCAAGGAAAACCTGTCCAGGAATACTTTCTCGTTTGCATACCAAGACCATGCAGTTATTGGAAAGTTGGTTAGCTTAGTAACCCTAGATTAACCAAATCAAACTTCCCAACAAGTTGTTTATAACTGTCTTGTCTGGATCAATAGGAGTTTTCTTCTCTCACGTTTAGAAATAAACTGCGAAGGTGCAGAAATACCTAAACTAAAACAGCGACGTTACTCTGAGTGTATATCCACACCGGGCAAGCTTGAAAAATATGCCTGGCCACGGTGGGAATCGAACCTACGACCTTTGGAATACTAACCCAATGCTCTGCCAACTGAGCTACGTGGTCAGGTCGGTTCGAGTATGTGATATTTCGGAACTGAGTCTAGTTCCTTCGATATCAATGCAATCTAGTAATCATGACTTTTTTGTGTTGGTGCAATGTTGGTGCAACAATGTTGGTGCAACAATGTTGGTGTAACATTGTGTTGGTTTAAAAAAAAATTTAAAAAAATTTTAAAAAATCTAAAACAGGAATTTGTTGGTTTAAAAAAATTTTTAAAAAATTTTAAAAAATCTAAAACAGGGAGTTAAATTTTAACTCAGGATTAGCGCTAACCCAACTTTGGACAACTGCTGTAAACTAGTATAAATCTGGTCGTACACTTGACGCACTTAGACGTATGTTGACAGATTTAGATGACTTGGTGTCTATGTATGTTTGGACATGATTGCGATCGTGTTTAACATCACAAAGTTTATAAATTTAGGAAATCATAACACTTAACTAGTATCTTGGACAGCAACGCTAAAATAATCAACACGACGTGTCACGCATGGGCTATTATGGCGCGAAAGTTTGCGTGATTAAAAAGCTATAAAATACGAAGCACTGTGACTGTTGTTGGAAGCTACTATAGGCCACTCCAAATGAGATTTTTATAGTTTCCGGCATGTAGTCATGCGCACGGCCATAATCATGATTGAAAATACAAAAAATATAAACACTACAATTCTGTCACCGTCCACTGTAAAACACCTTTCTAGCAGTTTCAACTGCAATACGCATTACTGTTTAAAGCAGCATGCTGCTATTGTATTGCATGAGAAGCAAGCGAGAGTGCGAATAAGATAGGTGAGAATTTTAACAGCTTTTCGTGACATGATTGACATCACGTTTTCTCCTATATTCTTACAAAATTTACTACAAAACAACTGATATATAAGATTTCTCCAAACATCAAATATAAATAATGCAAAAATCACTCAGCCACTTCTTGCATGGAGTCGAAGAGAAACTTGGACGAGTGAGACTGCATGTATTGTAAAAGCTCACCCGCACTCAAAGAGTACAGGTTCAATCTGAGCTCCCCTTGAGTGTCAGTGCTGTTTTAAAATAGCTGGATGGTTGGTGTCGTACCTTTCTATGTGACTACTCACCCGCTACAGCTATTCAAAAACAGCACTGACACTCAAGGGAAGCTCAGATTGAACCTGTACTCTTTGAGTGTGAGTGAGCTTTTAGAATACAGGGGTAAAATCTAATTTGGAGTGGCCTATAAAAATTTCAGAATCAAGAACGTCCTTGGCAGTACTAATTGGTGAATGCATTCTTCAACAACATTGGCTACACCACAGTTAAGGCTACACTTGAAGATCAACATACCTTTTGCAATGGGGCAAATTGCAGCCCATGAGCTGACTGGGCCCAGGCTGATATGTTGTCCCAGTGCGAGCTCCATGAAAAATAATGGCATACCACAGATAATCAACATTATGATATACGGAATGAGGAACGCTCCACCGCCATGTTTGAACGCGAGGTAAGGAAACCGCCAGACGTTTCCCAAACCGACGGCATAGCCGATAGCGGAGAGGAAGAACTCTACTTTTTTGCCCCATTTTTCTCGCTCAAACGGTTCTTCTGATTCGATCTCGCTGCCTTCATTAGAAGGTTTCTCTGAGAACTCGCTGTCCTTTGTTATTAGATTGTTGCTGGCGTCCTTGGACGACTCGTTCGACGATTCATTCATCTCCATGATCTAAACCAAAGAGTAGCAAATTACAAATAGATTTGGAAGTGATCGCAAGAAAAATGTTTCAAGTGCAGCGCAAATACAGTGCCCGATTAAATATAGATTTGAATTTCTTGACTCGATAGCTCAATCGGTGTAGGTCAACAGGCCAGGCGGTTGAATATCTAACAAAACAAGCACAAATCTGGTTTGAGTAAACATTACATTGAGAGCACGGTTTAACTTCTCCCGACGTGTACTATTGGTAATACAACGAGAAGAAAAACGTGTTCGTGAACAATAGCATTTTTATACGCCGTTCTTGTTCAAACAATACTACGACGCCTACATCATTACCACATCAAAACCGCGCCAACATTTGTAACGCTTCTAGCCGTTTAGGGAACTTCATATGAATCATGAATGCACGTTCTACAGTACATCAGACGTGCTTACAATGATAATTACTATATTGAGAAAAAAAAACAACCGTTTTAGTTACGCTCGAACACAAATATATAATTAATTTCCGTTTCATGCCGTTGCCTGCATTGGCTGCATAGTTTCCCCTCGTGACCTCTACTATGAAATCCTGTGCGGTTCGCCGGGCTCGTAGGAAACGCAGAGCCATCACACACACAAGGGAATAACCAAGGATTGTGTAGCCCGCGAACAGAAAACGAATTTCTATACATGGACCGTCCGCAGGCCAATAATTGCGTTGTCAAAATAAAGTTGATTCAAGCCAGATTCAGCGACTGGACGATTCGAGATCTCCATCAATTGAGCCATCGAGTTAAGTACGCACATCTTGAAATACAAATTTAAGCGGAGAAGACGCGGTTCCATAACTTCGAAATGTCGTATAGGAAACACGATCTATTAATTATATACAACATGTTCAAAACCCAACAAAGTCTAAATAATATGTTGACCCAAGCGGGTTTGAACTCGTCATACCGGGAGATGGATTAGGCTTGTGAATTGTTAATGGTTTCTCTCATCGGATAAGATCGATCCGCGTACGTTCGCCTGCTCTCAGATAAGACCACTTGGAATCGCATAGGCACACACGCTCGACCATTCGCAACTTTCAATCAGTGTGCATCTATCGGCTTACACAGAAATCATATTAATATATACAGAGCAGTGTCCAATTACAATGTAACCTCAAAAATGTTAATATTTTATGCGCATACAAAGCTTGGCCCTTTGGCCCATGTCCCCCGCAAACAACACTTTTTCGAAAACATACCCCGTCTCATCAAATCCCTGTATTTTCCTCAAAAATGCCCATCGAACATACCCCAAATGAAAAGTAAATAAACAGTATCTTATAAGCTGACAAATTGGGCTACATTTCAATAGAATGTCATTTTATCGGACATAAATCACCTTAATTATCATAATGATATTTAGGGCATTGCGGCCGTGTCATCGAGGGAAATGGGCCCCAAGTATTCGCCCAGAAAAAAACTCCTATTAATTATTAACCTCGATCCAATTAATACCAGCTTGCCTTAAATAATATATAACAAATCAATGGAAAAAGATCGCGAGGCATAAAAAATTTATCGCGCGGCGAGCGGTCATATATTGTTCCAAAATAAATGTGAGGTTATTGATGAATTGTGATTGTATCCAAAGTCTGTAAACCTTTTCTCGCTTCTCATTTGCTTATCGTGGAAAACGCAACGCAAAAACCAATTTCAATGCATGGAAATCAAATTAGACGCAAAAAATCATCAAACTAGATGGCACTTAGGTCTTATAGTCAAAACTGTAACATTGCGGTCAGTTGCACTCACGCTTGATAGCTTAATTATAAAATGACACAAAACGGGGAAAAAAAAATTCAAACACACAGAAAAGTTAATTCATTTTGTGAACATTAGAAGAAGTTTGTTTTAGTGATTCTGTTAGTAATTGCCGGCACGCAAAGTCAAAGTTTGCGATAATTTTCCCAAGGCATCAAAGTGGGGTGCAGCTAAAATGGAAAACTAAATAGGTAAGGTTCTATTAGTGTGAGTAGGCAGACAGACTGGCCGCGTAATGAGGCAAGGGCGTGCATGATTTTTTATTTTAAGAAATTTCAGTGCAATTAAATTAGATAAGTGACCAAAGAAAGCAAGACTTTGCACTTTTTCCTGATAAACTCATGGCCTTTAGACGGGTTACATATATATTTACTGCATGTGACTGTAATATTTCTCAAGTATGTGATCTAATGGATAACTCACAAAAGGAGTGGGGCAGCTTGTTCGAATGTCAGTGAACCTAATCCTAGGTGAAAGGAAAAGCGCAAAGCAGGGGTGTAGAATACCCCCCTCCCCCCCCCAAAAAATATATAATTTTTGACAAAAAAAATTATAACAACCATCCTGACTCAGAGAGAGCATAGACTCACAAATCATAATGAAAGTGCCTAACGAAAGGGACAGAGAAGACTCTGAGAATGCCATTTCCGACGACCTTGAGACTCCAAATTTTCAAAATCATCCCACTCGGTTCCTCGCGGAGTCCCCCCCCCCTCGTCCCCCTCCCCCTAATTTATGAAGCTTCCTATTCCCCTAGCTTAAAGTAAAATTCTCAACAGTTTGTTTATCAAGTTGAAAATGCTTTTCCACTAATCGTGTCTAGATCAATAGAAGTTTAATTTTCTGAAGTTTTGAAATGAACCGTGCCGGACTACACCAATCAAAACAGTGGACTCGACCATGGTTAGCTAATCGAGCTCTGAACAACCGGCCCCTTGGCTATACAACGTTATGGGAACAATTCAGTTCTATAATTTTAAATAAATCCATTTAATCACATGTGCTAGTAGGAGAGATCCCAGCCTTCCCTTCCCTTCCCATCCCTCCCTTCCCGCCTCTACAACCCTTGACGAAGGACTTCGCTCGAAACGTCGAAGGGTTTTCAGGTAGTTTTCAGACACAAAACACGTTAGTTCACTGTAAATACTACCTACACTAGACCTCCCCGTTCATAATGCGTATTATTGCGGTCAACAGCGAGTTGAGCTAATGATGTTATCACTACTATTAACTATTAAGTGAATGGTTTTTCTTGAACGTGGTCATAGTAATCATGTTATGACCTCGTTCTTGATCAATATGGGCAAATTACGAATATACACCAAATTAGTTAAAATACTATCAGACAAGATTTAAAAATCATTTTCACTTCGGAATCAATTTTAAAATTTTCCATAATACACCCTTTCCATAATTACGTCACAACTACACTGTTTTCAACTTAGGACCACCTTAAATGGAAAGGATTTTAAGGGTTTTTTTCTCATGGGCTATGCACAGAGAAGCAGAACATCCTTCTTCAACACATGCGCCAAAAAAATTTTGGATTTTGATCAATAAATATGGAAATAAGCATTAACACGAAAACGAGGCACATGACCTGGAGCCTCGTTTTCGTGTTAAAGCTTATTTCCACATTTATTGGTAAAAATAAATCATTCTTTTTCATACATGTGTTGAAGAAGGATGTTCTGCTTCTCTGAGCATAGCCCATGAGAAAAAAAACTTGAAATCCCTTCCATTTAAGGTGGTCCTAAGTTGAAAACAGTGTAGTTGTGACGTAATTATCGAAAGGGTGTATTAACTTTGTAGTGAAGTATTAAGATTTTCGCATATCCTCGGTCCCAGGGATTCATGCCTGGGAACACTCTTATTCCCAGGGACGTTTTAAAAATGCAAAATAGAATGGAACAAGGTGCTGATGTTCTTCTTGCGCAATTACTGCAGAAGAGAACATTTCAATGAAATCAAGGAATCATTTGGTGATAGTGCTGATTGCTAAGGCCATTACTGCTGTACGTGAATATTGAAATGGTCACGGTTTCGTTGAAAGACAAGATGCGATCTGGCAGAGAAATTAAGGGAACCGATGCTGAGATAGCATGCATATAAACACGTAATAAGAAGGGATCAAGAAGAACCATTCAGAGACATTTTGGAACTGAAGAGATCTGAAGATGTGGGGTGGTAGACACCCCCAAAAAGGCGTGGGAAGAAGGCCTGCGATGCTACGGACACGTGATTAGAGAGAGAGAGGAGAGCCAATCAGAAACATTTTGGAATGAAGAGATCAGAAGATGTGGGGTGGTAGACACTACAAAGAAGGCGTGGGAAGAAGCCTGCGATGATACGGACACTTGTTTAGAGAAAAATAAGAGCCAGTCAGAGACATTTTGGAATTAGGAGATCAGAAGATGTGGGGTGGTAGACACAACAAAGAAGGCGTGGGAAGAAGGCCAGCGATGCTACGGACACTTGATTAGAGAAAAAGGAGAGCCAGTCAAAGACATTTTGGAATGAAGAGATCAGAAGATGTGGGGTGGTAGACACCCCAAAAAAGGCGTGGGAAGAAGGCCTGCGATGCTACGGACACTTGATTAGAGAAAAATAAGAGCCAGTCAAAGACATTTTGGAACGAAGAGATCAGAAGATGAGGGGTGGTAGACAATGCAGGCGAGGGAAGCAAGGCTGAGATGGTATGGACATGCACACAATGAAGGTCAGAAAATGCGGGTAGATAATGCAGAGAAAGTGAGAAAAGCAAAGTGCGATGGTATGGAAATGTGATAAGAGATGGAGAACCAATCAGACATCATAGAATGAAGATATCAGAAGATGTTGGGTGGTAGACATTGCCAAAAGGACAATGGAAGCAAGCCTGAGATGGTATGGATATGTAATAAAAAGAGATGAAGGAGAGCTGGTCAGAGACGTTATGGAATAAAAATGTCAGAAAATGTGGGGTGGTAGACATTGCATTGAAGGCGAGGGAAACAAGGCTGAGATGCTATGGACATGTAATAAGAAGAGATGAGGGAGAGCTAGTCAGAGACATCATGGAATGAAAATGCAGAAAATGTGGGGTGGTAGACATTGCATTGAAGACGAGGGAAACAAGGCTGAGATGCTATGGATATGTAATAAGAAGAGATGAGGGAGAGCTAGTCAGAGACATCATGAAATGAAAATGCAGAAAATGTGGGGTGGTAGACATTGCATTGAAGACGAGGGAAACAAGGCTGAGATGCTATGGACATGTAATAAGAAGAGATGAGGGAGAGCTAGTCAGAGACATCATGGAATGAAAATGCAGAAAATGTGGGGTGGTAGACATTGCATTGAAGACGAGGGAAACAAGGCTGAGATGCTATGGATATGTAATAAGAAGAGATGAGGGAGAGCTAGTCAGAGACATCATGAAATGAAAATGCAGAAAATGTGGGGTGGTAGACATTGCATTGAAGACGAGGGAAACAAGGCTGAGATGCTATGGACATGTAATAAGAAGAGATGAGGGAGAGCTAGTCAGAGACATCATGGAATGAAAATGCAGAAAATGTGGGGTGGTAGACATTGCATTGAAGACGAGGGAAACAAGGCTGAGATGCTATGGATATGTAATAAGAAGAGATGAGGGAGAGCTAGTCAGAGACATCATGAAATGAAAATGCAGAAAATGTGGGGTGGTAGACATTGCATTGAAGACGAGGGAAACAAGGCTGAGATGCTATGGACATGTAATAAGAAGAGATGAGGGAGAGCTAGTCAGAGACATCATGGAATGAAAATGCAGAAAATGTGGGGTGGTAGACATTGCAATGAAGATGAGGGAAACAAGGTTGAGATGGTATCGACATGTAATAAGAGATGAAGGAGAGCTAGTCAGAGACATCATGGAATGAAAATGTCAGAAAATGTGGGGTGGTAGACATTGCATTGAAGATGAGGGAAACAAGGTTGAGATGGTATGGACATGTAATAAGAGATGAAGGAGAGCTAGTCAGAGACATCATGGAATGAAAATGTCAGAAAATGTGGGGTGGTAGACATCGCATTGAAGGCGAGGGAAACAAGGTGAGATGGTATGGACATGTAATAAGAAGAGATGAAGGAGAGCTAGTCAGAGACATTATGGAATAGAGATCAGAAGATGGACTGATAAAGAGAAACGCATCATGGGGAGAGACCAAAGAATAACTGGATGAAATGTGTACAAGATGATCTCAATATCAAGAAACCGACAGAAGAAATTTATGCAATATAACTGACAAGAATCTTGGAGTTAAGGAATATGTAAGAAAACAAACATGCAAACTAGAGAGGAATAAAAACAGCAAAGACTAAAGTATGTGGAGGATGAAGTTATTGCCTTCCAAAGAAGATTCATCATCAACAACACGCATAAAAAAGTTCAATCTGTAATATTTACAAAAGTTAACTTTATCACTTTTACATGTTTGAAGTGGTGTTTTACATCACTCTAGGTTCAATAAACAGTTTCAAGGTTTTTACAACATCATTGGTATTTTTTACATGTTTCCACGTTATTTACAACATATTTGTGGGTTCTATGTTATGTATATGGTGTTTTTACATGTTTCTGGGTACTTTACAACACATTACTGGCCATTACTAAGGTGTTTTTACACCTTCTTTACAACACGTTTCTAAGTTTTTTTACAACACATAAGATGTGTTTTTACATTTTTCGGTTTTGTTTCCACACACGTATGGTGTTTTTACATAGTTTCAGGTTCTTTACAACACGTTTCTAATTTCTTTACAACACATATGTGTTTTTACATGTTTTCCCGCTCTTTACAACACGTTTCTAAGTTCTGTACAACACGTATGGTGTTTTTACATATTTTCAGGTTCTTTACAACACGTTTCTAATTTCTTTACAACACATATGTGTTTTTACATGTTTCCACGCTCTTTACAACACGTTTCTAAGTTGTGTACAACACGTATGGTGTTTTTACATATTCCCAGGTATTTACAACACGTTTCTACGTTTTTTACAACATGTATGTGACAAAATGTTTTGCAAGTTTGGTACATTTACATTTTCAAATCTTTTTGGACTTGTACATGTGTTATCTTCTTAATATTTAATAGGTGGATGTAATTTTTCAGGATATATATATGGCAGATAGAGTTGGGTGACACTTAAAAAATCATATCACGAGTATCGTCTAGGAAATTATGACGATATCAGATGCCAACTGCGCTTGAAACACATTTTCAGAAAATACTTAATTCTTCCAAAAACTTTAATTCTCTAAAACGTCTTTTAATTCTTCAAGAAATTAAAAACAACAGCTTTAGATTAACCCACTGAGCTACAGTACAATGCGTCCCAGTGCGCCCTACTTATTTTTTTTTACTTGTCTAACGCCAGACAATTTCACTAGTCAATGGGGAAGCTCTGTAGCTTGATGGATTAATCAGTAATCACAAACTCTTTGTATGCATGCAAAGCAATTCCACAATAGTTGTCGTCTCGTAGACCATGACGATAATTACGATATAACATCACTCAAGTTTTGACTTTCGATACAATAATCATGAGTGAAAATATCTTGATAATATCGATACATCGAAATATCACCCAACTCTAACAGCAGACAATTTTACTTGTTAACAGGAAATGCTTCGTTGCCCCATGCTACTAACCTGCTGACAAAAATCAATCCCTTTCATCTTTTCCCGGTAACTGAGACATAGATCGCGGCAGGTTAGGCATAAATTGGTTGTTTCACATTCAACGTAAATTTCACACTTCAAGAAGCACTTGTAATGCTTCACGGCACATTGGAGAACTTTAGATTTTACTTATAAAGCAAGACCACAAGTACAAGATCTATCACTTGTGCAGCAGGCACAATAGATTCAAAGTAAGAATTGTCTGGCTGGCAAAAGACAAATTTTGTATTTGTAGTCATAATCTAAAGCCCTCAATTCTTTCAAGCTGAAAGTTACTTGGGTCACATTTGACAGCAAAATTGCCATTGAAGGGTTCCTTCAATCAGTTTACTCAAATTTAAAACTGGCCAATTCTGTTGTGAATATTCTCCAACTATGTTTCTAAATTTGGCATATTAACCAACTTTGCAAGTTGCTTACTAAAGTACCAAAGTACAGAACTAAGGTACGTTAGTAAATAACTTGCAGAGCTGGCAAAGTAATAACTTTCAGAGCTGGCAAATTTAGAAACGTAATTGGGAATATTCAAAACAAAATTTGGAAATCTTTGAAAAGTGACCAGAAATCGACAAAAATAATGTCACGTGTAGCCACAATCAAGAAAGTAACAAGTATGACTGTTGAAACCCTAACATGAACATGCCTACATATTTTGCCTGCTACACTACACTATATCCATGATACTTAGGCCCCCCCCAACCACATGGGCCCTTTGGAACCAGAACAACTTGATGTGCAACACATAAGTTGGAAAACACCTATAAAATGAAAATTAAACCATGCCTTTCAAAAGATTGCTGAACAATACACAAAGCCTGATTTACACAATAAAACTAGCCTAAGATGCCATGTGTTATAAAGTCTAACCCTGTTAATTTATTCAATCCGGTTTAGTTTGGACCAATATGAAAGTCAATGATCTCAAGAATGCTTTTCCTCGGCAAACAAAAATCATTATTGTGCAATATAGATGGGATTATTAGGGTTTGTGAGAAGAAATGTGTTTTGCTACTGCAGGAATCACCCATGCACAACCATCCATGCATTTCATGTACAATCGTTACACAGTTTTCTCACAAAGAGTTTCGCTGCAGTAGGCCTTACATGTACGTTTTAAGCCAAGGCATTACTCATACACAACTGGATGTATTCAGAACAGAAATTCGCAAGATTTCACTTTCACATGAAACCATAACATCGTTGATCACATGAGTTCCTGGTAAACAGGAATGATTGATGCATACGGTTCTGAATTTATTTTCTTTGCTATGAAATCAATCTATTAATACCAAGGCCAAATTTGCCAATATGGCGCGCATTACATGTCGTTTGTATTCTTATATGTTTAAATGAGACTGTAGTCTATTACCTGAGAAAAAATCATTATTCATACTGGCTCTATGCCAGGAGGAAGTAACCGTAGACAGCAATTATATATATTATAAATTTTCTGGTGGTATTGTACCTTGCCCCAAGATATATGAAATTAGTAACATTATAGCTTTTTTACTTGACGGTTTGTTGTCATTTAAAACCTGTTTATAGCCGGTTTAGACATAATACAAAGGCCTAAAGGGATTTCAACATGCTGATCATGCCCCGTTTGTATGCATTATATTTCGTATAAAACCATCCCAACCAAATATAAGACATAGTAAATGGAACTTGTGAATCATTAGTAAAGTTTTTCTCACAATTACGAGAATAGCTAGCGGTCACATTTCTCATTTTCTATAATGGCCATTGAATGCATTTTATGACTTTCATGGACCACATGGCCCCTCGCTTTTAAGGAGGACGCGAACTTCAATTATACTTCATGAAATTCATCCTAAGTTAGTTCTATTTGAAAACGTACTCAAAATGAAAAATATATTCACCTTTTATTGCGTTTTGTTTTCTTTCGTCTTCGACAGATAGGCCACGACTACTAGTCTCCGTATCCTCTTGACTCTTGAACGTGATCCCACCTGCCGGAAAATTAACCGCACATGGGCTTTGTTTGTTTGGCACAAGCTCGGAGATATGACAAAGCACAAAGGGAACGTGACGAAATTCCTTGTCACCAGCACTAAATTTCCTTAGTTTTCCCCAAAATTCCTTGCATTTCTTTCTAACTTTTCTGCGACTTTTGCTCGTTGATGCAAAGTCACATAAAATACACAATTCTGAAAACGATATAACAGCTAAAAATTCGCACTTTTGCGCAATTGACAAATATATTAATACTATTTAATGCGTGCGCCATACAAACCTCGGTCAAACCCAGAAAATACTGTAAACTCGTGTTTCAAAAGCGGCCATTTACAGCATTTCAATATGAAGAACATAAAATCAAGGGTTAGCACTATTTTCCATCCAGCAAACTGACCTGACGTCATTTTCGGAAGATGGAAGAGGTGTTAAATGGCTATGTAACTAACCCAAACCCTACCCTAACTCCTAACCCCAAACCTAACCCTAACTGAATTAATAACAAAAATCAAAAAGACTTTAGAAAATCGATAGCGCGGTTTGCTGGATGGAAAATAGTGCTAACCAAATGAGTCATGGCGTCATGCCAGTTCTTCCTACAGGAAAAATTCACAAGACCACGGGCCTATAAACACCAGCTGAAAAATACTTTAAATTATTCACATTCCTGTTTTCAAGGATAAACTCTAAAACTAAGAGTTTTAATCATGCAAATTTTCAGATACTCATATCCGACCTCGAGATCTCTTTTTTTCTCTTGGATGGCGCAGAGCGTCTAGATGGAGGGGCAAAGAGAAGACGTACATTTGTGCACTTGCCAAAACAACGAATTCTCACACTGTCACACATAGTTTCAGTTTGGGCAAAACTTGTTTATTTGGAAACGAAATCAATAAAATACTCTCGAATAATATCGATATTGGACGTCTGCCTCTGCTTGGGCAATCCACGTTCTTACTGAACTTCAGATAGTAAAAAAATATCCGTACGGTTTCCATATGGTACTTGTATTAAATATACTAGCCCAAAATGCTTCATGATTCCAAACGACATAATCTTGCCAAATACATAACGGCATTGATATGTACATAGCCGACAAAAAAAAACAAATTAATTTTACGCATATTAAACGAACCCTAATGGACAAAACAAATAAATATACCAGTTTTTGTATGAGCTGTTTATGTAGGGGCAGGGCTGTAATGTTTCTGTGATCAATGATCAAACTGTGACAGTTACTTGCGAACCAGCATGCTCTGCCTGAGAACAGCAGTTTAGAAGTGACACTATCTTGGTTAGCTGTTTTTAATCACAGTTACCTGTAATAGTTTTAATTTAATGCTTTCCCAACACTAGAGCTTAAAGGTGGAGTAATACGAGTAACAAAATTGCTGCAACTTGCAACTTGCAAGTTGCAGCAATTTTGTTGCTCGTATTACTCCAGCTTAAATGTTCCCAGCAACAATTCGTGACTTTCAACTTTCATCAACTCTCATGTTCATTTTGACTGGGACTTAAAAGCACGATTATACAATAAGTGTATATTTGGCTAGTTTCAAAATGTTTTTTCTATTATTTACATTTACAAATACAATAGTTAAAAAGTTTGGTTATTGTTTGTTAGCAGATGGTTGGGAATGCTTGACAACGTCTGGAAATGAGGTTAGAAAATGGACTTCATCATCATTTTAAAAAGCGTATCTTGTTCTGATATCTTCCAATTTCTTCGACACCTGTTGAAAATAAGAAAGACTTTTCAGCAAAACACGATGATTACATCTGCTAGTCTAAGGCCCCAGTTACACGATACCGGATTCGCATATCGGAGACGGAGCGAGTCGAGCGACATCAACTAAGACCCTCTTACAACTTTTCATATTTGAAGTTTTTGACTAATTCTGTTATATTTTCATAATTTTGAGTGCTAAACTCCTCTTGAAACTGTAAAATTTGATGTCGCTCCGATGCGAATCCGGTATCGCGTGTAACTCGGGTCTATAAGACGATGTAGGTCTAGCAATGTACGAAAGCCTGTTTTCAGACCTGACAACAACCCTTGCTTGGGAAAGAATTCCACAAAAAATGTTTTTGGCTACTTTTTAAATACGAAATGATTAGAAAAACAATGGTTGAGATTGGCGAATGCAAACTAATTAACAACTACAAAGACTTAGAATTAATTATACGGCAGAAACACGTTGTTGTTTGGGAAATGAGGGGAGACTACCTCGAAATGATTGCGACCAGCACGATAGCTATAAAAAATTTAATTTATACCTCAGCTGGCGTTCGATCCAACTCCTCTGCGATATTTCGCCTCTTACTCGACTCAAGCGAGTTAAACTGTTCACAAAGATCGCCATCAATAACACTCTACACGATATTCAGAAACGATTAAATAATTCATTAGTTTAACCTCACAGAAACCAAACTAAAAAAGTCGATAAAACACACTCACTTTTACGGGGAAGAAATACGATCTATAACTGAGATGGTCACGGCCACATAATGGAGCGTTCTCGGAACGTAAATGCATTTCCAAATGTTGGAAAAAGTCGATATCCTAAACACAAAAATATTGACACAATAGATTAATTATAACAATATTTGCAACACATGGCAATGTATTGCATGAATATGTAGTACTTATACAGGGTGTATAAAAAAAAGGAGACCTTTAGAAATCAATCATATTGTTAAAATTTGAATGCCTTTTCAATTGCACATATGCTGAACCGTAGTGCGTGAAATATTGATGGGGTGCATATATTAGAAAAAGGAGACCTTTAGAAATTGAAATAACGTTTAAACAAAATATTGTCTGCTCCTGGGGACAATCTGCCATGTATACTGTACGTAGATCGCATTTTGGGCTTAGCAAAGTGCTCCAGGATTCAAATTATAACAATGGTTGATTTCTAAAGGTCTCCTTTTTCTAATATGTGCACTCATCAATATTTCACGCACCACGGTTCAGCATATGTGCAATTGAAAAGGCATTCAAATTTTATCAATATTTCTTAAGGTCTCCTTTTTTTTATACACCCTGTATAGACGATAGACTTTTGACAGACAGGATCACTTCTTCAGAATGTCCCAAGAGTCATATATTTTTGAGGAGATCTTTTAACGAAGGTAGGCATGGGGCCAGGGGCGTAGGAAGCATCAGAAGATTGGGGGGGCACCGGCTTCTAGGGGCACTTTAGGGTATTGAAAAGGGCAACTAAAAAATTTTTCCCGGAAATGTTGGCGGGAGGGGGGGGGGGAGAAAAATTTTCCCGTCATACCATACCGAAATTTCACGTTTTTGACCAAATTTTTTAAAAAAACTTGGAAATTTCCAAACAAAAAGGGTACCTTTGATGTTAATTTAGTATTTAGAGCGACATTAGCTTGTACAAAAAGGGCTTGGGATTTGGAAACAGGAGGAAAGATTTGGAGCGAAGCAAGGGCCCAGGAGAGAAGTCAATTTCAGTGCCTCGTGGCTCGAAGTGTGGAAATGCTTATTTTGTTTATAATTTCACTCGCTTACCTCACGGGATGTAAATGGAACGAGCATACCAACTCGTCCGGAAATTGTTGTGTAAACCAAAGACTCTGAACCACCCGGGATGAGAGTTGCTTTCTGGAGTGATAACACTGTTTCCCCAATGAAGAAGTTACATATCGTGTCAGCCTAGAATAAAAGATGGACCTAAGATCATAACACAACCAATAGGCTCACCAGTGTTGATGTCCATTACCGTTCAATTCGCTCGCATGTGTAATCTAAATGCTTAGTTCTGGCTTTGTTCCATACCATGCTTAGATTACCAAAATTGTAGTGACTAGGCATGCGAGTTATCTCAAATGTGAATGGACCATTTGCATTATAGACTAAATTTTGATCTAGATAAAAATTTCATCACAGCTTGAAAGAGCATCACAAAATTAGTAATATTCCAAAGTTTCGTTGCAAAATGTTGTAAAATGCGGATAATATAGCCTTGCGAAGTTTGCCGTTTTTCAGTCATTTTAGATTACAAACGGGAAATTGACAGCCCAATCGGGTGTTGGGGCAACAATTTCCCGTTTGTAATACAAAATGACTGAAAATTACAAACTTCGCAGGGCTATATTATCCGCATTTTACAACATTTCGCAACGAAACTTTAGAATATTACTAATTTTGTGATGCTCTTTCAAGCTGTGATGAAATTTTTGTCTACATCAAAATTTAGTCTATAATGCAAATGGTCCATTGAGTGGCAAGAGGCATAAAATTGTGTTAGGCCCCGTTTACATGAGACCGGAACGAAGTCAAACCGGGACCATTTCGTTTCGGTCATTATTTATAATAGACGTTTACATGAGACCGGGACGAAAATAACTCAGACTGGTCTCAAGTCATTCCGCCTGCTGGACCAAGCCGACTGACCTCAGACCGGCATGAATTCAGACTGGGATGAATGTAAACACAAATACATTTCAGACTGGTCTTGGCCGTGACCTTGACATTGGAACACAAAAGCCATCTAAAAAAGAAAATTGCCTGGCAAGGGGGATAAATTGAAAATTTTGTGACTTTCGTACCGGTCTCATGTAAACATGTTGACAATTTCAATTTTCATTCCAGTTTGACTTCGTCCTGGTCTCATGTAAACGGGGCCATAGTTTTTCTGTTGGCAAACCGCGTCGCCATATGCTTGAACACAAGTAGTATACCTATTGTTTACAGGAAATGTTTTTTCCGCTAATATTGAACGATTTCTATATATATATCTAACACGTTACTTTGGTAATGTTTGTGATGAGACGATGTGTTCTAGGATGATCGCTAAGATTTTGAAAAATTTTGTAGGACAGCGGTCACAGCCGTTCACTATATTTTGCTTTACCTTTTGAGGTGCGCCATGTAACAAGCCTCTATCCCAGAATGCTTTGTTTCCTGTCGGGTCTTCGTCTATTTCATCTGAAGTGGATGTCGGAAGTCGAACCTAAGAAAACAATTCTCTATATATCACTCACTGTATATTTCATACTTTAATTAAAGGTGCTGTCAAGTCCGTAATGTAAAAAACGCTTTATTTACATTTCGAACTGGTATATTTGTAAAATATGATATACTAACTGAATATCTAACACTGTTCTGGTTTAGTATGCTAGTAGATGAATATAAACCAGAGTTTCAATTCAGAAAAAGTTCAAAAGATGCGAAATTTGGGCAATGTTTACATCTGTGGGTCCCCCTTTGTTATGAGCAGAACCAATGCGCAGAACGCACTTGATAGCATCTTAAAGGGCTTCGGTGGCTTCGCAATCGTCAGAGCAGGCGCCTTTCACCTGTGAGATCGTGGGTTCGACTCTCGCTATGGACTAATGACACTTATGTGAGAAGAGTCGGTCAACGCTCTACCGAAAGTCGTGGGTTTTCTCTGAGTACTCCGGTTTCCTTCCACAGAGAATGTTCACAGGGTGGGTTGGGATTATCTCCCTAACTGATCCTTCCACCGTAGCTGTGCTCTGTGATCAGACATGAGTAATAAGGTGGCTGCCATAGCCGACCTTAGCACAGAATACTACACATGCAGAAGTTCATCTCCATTGTTTTTTTTTTGCGTAAGCGCTATTCGTCATGATTCGTCACTCAGCAAGTACCGTAAACAGAAGCAGTCCCTCCCTGGAAATACTCAAAATGGCGCGTGTGACTGCTTCTGTTTACGGTACTTGCTGAGTGACGAATCATGACGAATAGAGCTTACGCAAAAAACAATGGAGATGGACTTCTGTGTAGTATTCTCTGCCCTTAAGCCTTCGACTTTATCAGGTTGAGCTGCGTCCTTCGCAATTCAGCTTAGCTCTCAACTGCAAGTAAGGACGATTAGCACACTCCATGCACTTACTTACTAAACCCACAACGTTTTAGGACTGATTGAACGTAGCTGGTAAGATCACAACTCACCACAAAAACGTTTCCAAATTTATCTGCTCCAGCCATCGTATTGAAGTCAAGTAAACACTGACAAGTCATCCATCTGAAGGATAGGAATATCCAGGTATCGATTGAACGTTATTTTTAACAAACTAACTTCACTGTAAAAAGTATTGAGACTCACCTTATGTTAATATCATCAGCAAAAACCACAAGCTGGTTCTCTCGAGCTTTGTATCGGACAAAATGAAAAGATTCTTGAACATCCATAACAACAAGTCTCTGACCCACCGGGTGCAGACCAACTATGAGATTGGGAAGTTTCTATACAAAATATCATAACAGTAGCGAAAATTATATTTTGATAAATAATGGAAGGAAATCTAATGGACGTTCGACGAATATAATGTATCTTTCACAAATTTTATCTTACCTTGTTTTCGCATTTTCTAAGCAGTTTTTTCTTTCCCAAATCATAAATTCTCAAAAAGCGTCCAACACCGACGGCAGCACGGCCCTGTTTAATTAAAGAGAGTTCAAGTCTTGACTGACCACGATTATAGGGTAAACATACTCTCGATTAGTGTTTCTATCGATTAGTATTCCTATCATTGATTGGAAATAGGCTCCGAAAGTTTTGATCACTAATCAACGTCTACTTGAACATGTATACCTAACAGTCTACAGATTCCAGGATTTCCACACCTGAATGTCGTTTCAATGACATTCCACATCCTAATTTTCTAACGAAAATCTTAAAACCTACAGCAATCATTTCATCTCCCCCGTTTGTACACTACAACGGCAAAGTGAGCAAACTAACCTGAAATGATGCTATCGCAGACGGGATGTCATCCATTTCAGTCTAAAAACACAAACAAGTGACAAGTTAATAAAATAATCAGTGTAAACGGCTAGTCTTTCATCTTCATGAATGGCTAGTAATGTAATGATAAAATAATTAACTGATATGTAGTACACCAACTGTAGCCTGTAGATATAAGTACCATGTGGGCAGATTCTAAGTGGGTGACCGCCAAACAGGGAGACGAAAGGAAAGTCGGCAGACGCTCGACCCAGAAAATGCAGGTATGGATTTACTGTAATGGGGGGCGGGACCTCTCCAAGATCCGCCCCAACTGGATTGCAATTCGGACAAATTATTCTTTATGGCAGTGGCAGAGGGATGTACACCCCAAAAGAATCGTCACCACAATACGCCTGGATCTGTGCCAATTTTGTACCCGGAGTACACGCCTGTTAGGGTTGAGATCTGTCCCAACCTCATTCCCAGGCTCTTTGGATCTGTCCCTGCATGCTATCCTTACCGTGTGCATTAATTCCAGTTTTTGTCCACCGTCATCAGGCATTGCTACCAGTTTAAAGGTATGTATAGCACCACCAGAACACGATCTTGGATTGAGAACCATATCACTCGCCGTACCAACTAACACGTATGTCTCTTCTGAGCCTTTTGATGCGAAATGACAAACACAAACACTACAAAATAAACAAATTGTGTTGATGGCAGAGTGGTTAGTGTATGTGTGGTTCACCTCTTTGATTGAGATCGGATCTCTTCAATATTCAGGTGTATGATTATGATTTCACGTCTAAATTTTAGTTATAAGAGTTTAAAAATACCTGAACGCAGCTTCGTTTTGCTTCAACTCGACTTGGTCCAAAGTTTCTCCCTGTTTAAAATATCAACCGGAAATTACATAAGTTGAAACGCTATCTTGTGGAATCATAAAGATATTCATAGGTGTCCTAAGTTGTCATCATCACTGAAGTTAAAGACGCTTCAGGTTCAATTCTGTGGCAAGTTGCAGCAGTAAAATCAGCCTCGTGTAGTATACATTTTAAAAGCTCTTCTCAAAACCAACTTTCAAGCCGCTGCGAGCGCTTACATCTAATTAAAATAAACTGTCGAGCATTGTGATTGGATGAAAGCACTCGCAACGAGCTTGCGAGTTGACTCTTGTTGCCATGCGACTTCTACCTTGCTCATCGACCGTTTGAGCAACTACACACCTTAATCGGATCAAAAACTCTAATAACGGAGGCCCACATTCCCGGCCCAGCTTTCGCTGCTCCAAACTGCTGTTCAGGTAAATCTTCTTGTAAAAATTCAGCAGCTACTTGCGCCACAGCGGCCTTGTCCTCGTCTGCTACAGATTCAACCATTTCCTAAAAACATGTACTTGGGGTGTTCAAAATGAACCAATAAAGAATATCCCTTATACTGGACCTCCCGGAAGAACAGTTTGGAACTGATAGAGCAATCCCATATAAATAAAAGGTAGTAGGGGTCAATGATATTATTTAATGTATGTGGCACTGCGCAGCATCGTATTGTAGGTTTTGAGAACTAAAAATGTCTAGATTTTAAGGGAATTTTAAAACATGCCTGCAGAAATTTAGAAGGTGCCAGCAGGCTCACGCAATTGTAATGATGCCGGCCACTTTTTTTCCGATGGAAAATTTGTGTCGGCCAATAACATTTTACAAAATTTTGTCTCTGCGGAAAATTTTCCTGAGTGGAAATGGGCCTTTAGCCTTGGCAAAGAGGGCTGCAAGAAGGTGTCAATTCCTTCATCAAACCTATATTTTGGATTTGGAAAGGCAATAACAGAAACAAAATAAAGGCGGTAACATATTGCCTTGCTGACATAGTTCCTTCGAGAGAAAATTCACTGGTATAATTTATGGTATACTCCATTTTGTTCAGATTACGATGTGTGTGTTGATATCATGGTGATAATCATAAGGTGTCCTAAGTTTTATCATCACTACAACATGAAGTACACCACCAGGAGACATTATAGCGTGATAAAACTAATTATTTCACGCAATTGTAATGATGCCTTAAGGCCCATTTACACTTGCAATTTTTCCCAGCGATCTTCTTCTTTCGATGGATATGAATAAGTGGGATGAGTTATGAATGTTCTGAATATGCATACCCTCATCTGAAGGAAATTCACAAGGCAAAAAAAAATATTTGGTTTCCGGTTTCCCGACCCTACCTAGCTTTTCGACGCCGAAATCCCGACCCTAAACTTTTTATTGGATCACGCTTGTAAGTGTTTCCACTTAGAGAAAAACGTTTGAGAAAAATGGAAATTTGAGGCAATATTCGGGAAATTTATCTTTGGATGTGGAAGCACCGACTAAACAAAATGGCGTCCGCTTGTTAGGAAAATTAAAAAAAAGTTAAAAAAAAAGAAGTTAAAATCGACCTACCCTACCTAAATTTTTACAAGAAATAGAAACCCACATATTTTTTTGGCCCAACTCATCCACTCATTCATATGCATCAGAAGAAAATCGCACCTAATATCGCAACAAGTTTAGTTTACGTATGGCGTACCTCAGCCATGAGCTGCTTACGGTCAGCCTTTCCTTTGTCAGTGAATGCATTGTGATCCGTCTCGATAATAATCAAGTTATTGCTCTCTGGATCGATCACGAACTTCCGTGGCGTGTATTTCAACGGATGAGATATCTGATTGAACACCGCGCCAAGTTTCTCCAGGGCTAAAATCCTACAGAAAAAAAATCCGACAGCGTTTGAAAACGACAACTTTTAGGCCAAATTTAACAAATACTCGGCAATAATTTGGAGGGTAAAAACACACTGAAATAATGTTGAGTAAGAACAAAAAAACCTAGAAGACCAGTATAAACCCTTATCAACTTTAAAACATTTTTTAGTGTTGGTGTTATTTACTCAGGTGAATATGATGTTTGTGATGTTATTCTGAGTATGCATCCACACCGGGCAAGCTGAAAAGTTTGCTTGGCCACGGTGGGAATCGAACACGCGACCTTTGGGATACTAGTCCAATTTCGTCCAGCATATTTACATTATTTTCGGACCACACCATTTCATCGGGCAAAACGAATCCACACCTTCGTAATGTATAGAACCAAGATACGCCCGTGACCGTAACACGGTTGTTTCACTAGCACGAACTATTCAAGCTCTGAAAAAATTCCTTCGTTCAGTTCAGAGTCGGATTGCGGTTTGAAATCATAAAGACATTCATAGGTGTCCTAAGTTTGTCATCATTACTGAACGAAGTTTCCACTTGGACAATAAACAATTGAACAATAAAAATGCTACCTCAATGTGTTAGCGGAGATAGCGACAATTCCCTCAGGACATTGTTCGGATGAGAATCCGGAAGCATACTCCAGACTTTCGTACGACAACGGCGTCAGATGAAAACGGGATTGATAAGTGTAGCTTAGCCAGGAACGACTGGACATTGCCAGAACCTGGAATGAAAGTAATACGAATAAAGATTCTTGTTAGGATAGGGAGCAGAAAAATTTCAACGAACCAATCTTTTTATTTGTGTGTTTGCGATACTCACTGCATCTGATCCATGCATCTTCACGGGAAAAAGTTTCACTGGACGAGATCCTAAGTACCTAAAATGGAAAATTAGTTATCGTTACAGCAGAAACAAAATGATAGTGTAGCGAGTCATTAAGTACATGCTCGATAACCATTTCTTACGGTACCCACTTGTACAATTTCTATCGTTTTTAGTTAGTTGTAACGACTTCATTCAGTTCAGAGTCGGATTGCGGTTTGAAATCACGAAGATATTCATAGGTGTCCTAAGTTTGTCATCATTACTGAACGAAGACAGTTTGGGGCTGTTCATAATATGGAGCCAGGCTGTCCCGGTTATCCAAAATGATATTTAAAAGTTGAATTAGCCTAGTTTGATTCCAATACAATATAAAGTTCATTCGATCATTTACTGTCAGGAAAAAAATTTCCTGACACGATTCATCCCGTCTTATATAAACAGCCCCTTTGAATTTATTTGATCCTTTATTTGAAAATTCGACTGGTCAAAGGGAGACATTTGAATGGGTAAACGTGAAACAACTTTACCTAGTTCTGGTATCAGATAAATCTCCAGTGACTGTATCCAGCACTGTACGAAGCAGTACCCCATTCTAAAAAAAAAAATTAAACGTCAATAGGCACAAAATCGTCAAGTACGTCTTCATCGTCGTACTTCATTCTCTTGTTCAAAGTCTCCTATATTAAAAATTCACAACTGCATACCTCTAGACCAATATTGAGAAACAGTCCAGCCAAACCACCCCCCTGACGAGTCTCCTCGCTGCCTTCCTTGCCTCCCATTTCAACAATACACAATGACTCTGCTGAATCTGGTAAAGCTTGCATACTTAATGGTTGTAAGCAGTCCTGAAAATCAGTAAAATCACATAAGGGGTGGACCATTACATATCCGGGGGGAGGGGGATTTTCCTTGCAAGAAAGTTCGGATTTCGCTACAAACCGTGGCTATAAACGTCACCGTAGCTTTAAGGTATGCCGAAATCCGGCGAACTTAGTAGCACAAAGCTTGGCTACTGTGTTGTGCGTTTTAACGTGAGTAGTTTCAAGACGATGAATTTTAGAGAATACAATGCGCAGCTATTCTTACAACAAGCATACAATACCTGTGGATCTAGTGATATAATCCGAACTGTATCATCATTTAAACCAACGGCCAAAAACCGACATCTCTGTTCTCCTGCAGGAACACTGCCCAAGCCCATACAACTGACATCAGTTGACATCTGTTTACGCTCTGTGTATTCATTCAATTGACCAGACTAGAAATTTGAAAACCAACATTTTAAAATTATTTTAAACATGAGAACTTTTGTAAAGGCACTACTTTACACTGACAAAGTTTCTGTGATGTTGCATAGCTAAATTCTAAATTTTGTAGCGTTTGTAAGAAATGTTTGAGGGAACAGTCTCAGTGTTAAACACTAACTAAAAGTCAGTTGCCTCAAAACATTTCTTACTAATCCTTCAAAACTTAGAAATTTACCTATGCAAGATTCCTACTGTGAATTGTGATCACAAAAACTTTGTCAGTGTAACCCAACATTAACTTCAGGAATTTTGTAGCGTAAAAACAAATACCTGATCCATCTCGAAGTAAACCAGTTCACCGCCACTCAATGCTATCACCACCTGAATGAAACACACATTCGCTATTTACTACATGGAGAGTATAATTATGCTTATGACCTTAAATTGTTTTATCTGAACACAGTACATTGTAATCTGTACATACAGGGTATTCCAGTTATTCAGAGGGATTACAATAATCATAAAATAATCATATTTAGATGTCCTGATGTATTTTAATCATCATTATAACTGGAAATATGCCACGATCAGTACTCCGACAAAACTTCAAAGATATGCATGAAGTTTATATGTTTTTTTTATTTCATTTTATCATCAAATTTAGCCATCTTACTTGTCTTTCGTTCACAGCACATTTTACGATCGTTTTCTTGCCAGGCGACTTCCACTCATTGACACGCTTATCAGCACGAATATGTCGAATACCATCCGGGTACACCTACAGTACATGTCAACAAAAATAGCTATAGTATAATTGCATCTACCGATTCAGACAGGGATGGAAAGGGTGTAGGGGAGGGGTGCACTCTCAAGGCCCATTTCCACTCAAGAAAAATTTCCACGAACAGAAAAGTTTCCGAAAATATCATTGTTAAAAGTTTTTTTCAACTTCAAAATTTTTTTCCGACGGAAAATTTGTGTCGGCCAATCAGATTTTACAAAATTTTCTTTCTGCGGAAAATTTTCCTGAGTGGAAATGGGCTTTAGCCTTGGCAAAAAGGGGTGCAAGAAGGTGTCAATTCCTTCATCAAACCTATATTTTGGATTTGGAAAGGCAATAACAGAAACAAAATAGTTACTGGTATGATTTGTAGTGTACTTCATTTTGTTCAGATTACAATGTCTGTGTTGATATCATGTTGATAATCATAAGGTGTCCTAAGTTTTATCATCATTACAACATGAAGTACACCACCAGGAGACATTGTAGCGTGATAAAACTAATCATTATTTCAAGAATTCATGATTTCTGATAGGCTAATAGCCAACTGTAAAAATCGTCATATCAACTCAACAACCAGATACGGAGTTTTGACATAATATTCAACTGAGTGATGTCATAACGTTGATATGAAAAAAAATTAAACGCTTTGACTTCATGCCAACTGCCGAAGGAGTGGAATTGTGTCACAACACGAATGGCTTCCTACAACTGGCCGCTGTTTCCTCTTAAATAAATACGATACTGTAAAACAATTATGAAGAATTATCAAGGCCTCAATGTGTGTTATCAAACTCTTACAATGCCGACGTCTACAGTAAAAGTTGACTCGAAATTATATTGGAAATCTTCTTCTTAGTAAGAATACGAGTAATACCTGAAGTAAAGCATCTTCACCCAGTAATGAACATGACAACGTCGGTGTTGTTCCCAGGAAACCACTATCAGTCACCTCTTCAACAGTCTCACCAATAGATAACACCAATGTAGCGTTCACAAATGATACAATAATGTACGAGTCAAACTCCTCTGCAAAACACAGGAGAAATATTCTCATATTGTATGACGACGATTGGAATGAACTTTTTGAAATGTGAAAAACTTGATCAAGGACCATTGAAGGACTTGAAAATGTAAAGTAAAATCAGAAACTCATAAAATGCCAAAGACGCATTGGACAGCCAACTTTTAATTTTAATGCCACTTTTTAATGTCAGACAGTCATGGACAGCTAAAGAAAATTTTCGACCGCTGTTTATTTTATCCATTGCATATATGCTTTTTTCTCAAAAAGGCGCTACATTATGAGCATATTACAAATAAATTTCAAGCGCCACGTCTTTTGACCACATCCTCCAAAATGCTGTTGGTTGCCACACTCATAGTGTTATTATGACTCACTGCATCCGATTATCCCAGAAGTTCAGAACATTCATCAGTAATCAGGGTTAAATCATATTTAGATGTCCTGATATATTTAATCATCATTACAACTGGGATTATTACCAAGGGATTTATAACTTTTCTAACATCTAGAGAGAACAGTTTAATTTTTTACAGTAGTTCAAACATTTCTTACCCAGCTTGTTTAATTTAACAGTCCAGACAGCATTAGGATTGCCTGGCAGCTCAGAGACAGCCATTTCAGATACCTAGAGAAAATTAAACAGGCGAAAAGACAATTTCAGTCTCAATGGGTGATTCCAACTATATAGACTAAATTTTGATCAAGGCAAGAAGAACGAAATCCAACACCACAGTTAGAAAGAGCGTCTTAGATTACGTAAAAGTGCAAAGTTTGGTTGCTAAATGTTGTAAAATGAAGAAAATATAGCCCTGTGAAGTTCACGAATTTTGTATATATTTGTATTACGCGCGGTAAAAATAACCACTTCCGGCTCAAAAACCGTTATTTTTCCCGCGCGTAATGCAAATATATACAAAATTTGCGAAATTCACAGAGCTATATTGTCCTCATTTTACAACAATAACTTTCAAGTATACCATTTCTCGTATCTTTCTTTGGAACAAAACAAAATAAACAACTTCTGCCTACCTCCAAGCCATGCCTTAAAACACGCAACGACGAGCGTGGACCTCGACCACAGGCAGCGTAAAGTTGTGGCGTATCCTCATTGGCTAAATCGGCAATCTGGCACGACATAATGGGAGCCAAGCTATCTATTTCATCAACCAGAACGAGGTTTTTCAAAGCTCTCGGTTGGAAGAAAAATGTCGTCCCTTCTTCAAGTTCCATGTTACTGGAGAATTCCGGCTCTTCATCGTCATCTCCCAAGTGAGCGATTTGATAGAAATAACTGAAGAAGAAGGACGTGAATAGATCAATAAAAACGTGAATAGATCAATAGATAACTAGCCTTTCTCATGGCCAATTTTCCCGCCATTTTTGGGGTACTGCCTCTCTCACGTTTGAGAGCCTCCGCACCACGAAATACAACTTTTTAGTATTGTAGTTGTTTGTATAATGGTGAATTTACAGTTACAACTTTTAAAAGTCGCTTTTCACGTTGTTTGAATTGTCTAGAATCTTTCACCAGGGCAGACACTGCCAGACAGTACCCCAAAAATGGCGGATTTCGGCCTTCGTGAAGAAGGCTGATTAGCGTAATTGCGAGTCATTTGACCTCATGAGCATTGTTACAAGATGATGATAACTTTGACAACAACTGGGAAGAAGCTGTGCAAATATATCTTTATAATAAAAAATCCCATCTTGATCAACTTTTTCACTGTCAAAGTTTGCGCATATGGTGTCATTAGGTGAATTGCAAATTAGTTTTCCTTTGTTTTTTTTGTACCAAAAATTCACCTAATGACATCATATCTGGAAACTTTGACAGCGAAAAAGTTGATCAAGATGAGTTTTTTACTATAGAGATACATTACATTTCTTTAATGTATTTCAAAGCAATCATGATACATACTGATTGCCAAACTCCGAGGCAACAAAAAGAAAGCCAGTCTTCAAGACACACATCGAGGATGCAATTGGAGTCGTGTCAAAATATTTCAGTCTTATTTCTGTCACCATGACCATCTCCTCATCTGTTTCCAACGTACATTTGAAAATATCTCCTTGTTCAGTTTGTAGGAGGAAGAAAAACATGGACTGCAAAAAAAGTTGTAGTTTATAGAGCAGAATGGATGATTTCAGCTATAGACTCATTTTTTATCTAGGGAAGAAAGACGAAATCTGTCATTATAGCTCAAAAGAGCATCCTTAAATTAGTTAGTAAAATTGCCAAATTTGGTTGCAACATGTTGTAAAATACGGAAAATATAGCCCTGTTAAATTAGCAAATTTTGAGTATTTTAGCACGCTTTTGAGCCGAAAGTGGTGCATTTTTCCGCTCGTAATACTAAAATACTGAAAATTTGCTAATTTCACAGGGCTATATTTTTCGTATTTTACAACATTTTGCGGCCAAATTTGCCATTTTACTAATTTTAGGATGCTCTTTTGAGCTATAATGATAGATTTCGTCTTTCTTGTCTAGATAAAAAAATAGTCGATAGCTGCAATTATCCATTCAGTGATGGAGATTTGAGGGGAAGGTAAAGGGTACCAAGTGGGGGAATGGGAGGAGGTGAGAGGAAGGCAATGGAGGCAAAAGTGGGGGAAGACAAGGTGGGGGAACAAGGGGGAAGATATCGATGTGGTGAGATTGACTCGAGGGGAAAGTGGAGATCATTGGGGGGCCGGGGGGTTAAAGTAAAACAGCAGGGTCAAAAAGCAACCATGTAAGGCAAATGACTAAATTTGCATTGAAAGGCAGAAACAGTGGGTGGCAACCAAATTCTCACAAACATATTGAAAAGTATTTTCCTGCAGAGATACAGAAAACATACAAAGTTTTATAACATAAAAGACATAAGATACAGAAAACATTGGTTTTATTCACAGAGGATTACTACAACTAGCTGATCTGTTGTTGGCCCTTAAACTACATAGTTAAAAGACAAACCTTAGTTTTATGAGTTGCTGCACAAACAAAAATCATTCCTCTCTCAGGATCATCAACATCATTCTGCAAGGAAATGAGGGAAAATTTAATTTGGCATCTTCTACTATTAACGAGTAGCTGGTTGTATACCAGACAAAATGAAGGAATTGAATCACATTCACCTTTCTTCTTGGTATAGGCATTCGTAGGTCTTGCTGGTCACCAAAATTTTTGTAAGTCAGATAATTCTCGGAGCAAACAAGAACACCACTTGGACCGTCACTGCCTCCAGGAACTAAATAAAAAAAGACAACACAATCGGAAAATGCAGCCACAAATTGACACTCAAGATGAGTCAACTCATTCAGGGTTCACTGCAAACCTTAGTTCATCCCATTTATTTTTTGCTATTACCTGATATGAGAAGATTTCCTCGTTCTTCTAGGGGCTCGCTGTATTTTCTCACCACATGATTTAAACCTAGATCAAGTTCATAAAATGTTACAGTCTGTTGTGTGGTTTGAGCAGCTTCACCAGTGTGATCTTGATCCGACTCCTAGGTAAAGCCAACAGAATAAAATAATAATACACAATATATTCTGGATCAACAATTGTTAGATATGACTTGGCATCATCAATGTTTCATCTCGCTATCTGCAGATCTTTGCCAAAAGGCTCAAATTGGTCTATCCTTAAATGTTGTTTCAATAGTAAGGTTGCCAGCTAGTTAAAAGACCTTGAATATGTAGTGTTTTGTATATGAAAAAACAAAATTTCAAAGCTTTATAACAACCTCGTACCCAGGGCTAAACATTGCTGCCTTCAACTCGCGGCTAGCCCTTTATAACTTGTGACCTAACTGTCCAAACAAAGCGAAAATGTGGGTGTAGTCTAATTTAGGCAAGAACATTCCAATAGACCTTTCCCCTTATGAGTGAAATTTTGATCTAGATATGCCTGGACAAAAATTTCAATGTGTTTATGCAATAAAAATAATTAAATCAAGCACGAGTTGTGATGTGGGTCGTTAAAATATGTAATGAACATATATATTGTATATTATGAACCTATGCATTGTTCAATTTCATTGACCAATCAGAAGCAGTCTGTTGTTAGCGGGCGGGAGTTTGCTATTTGCTGTGCTCGCGGGCTGTGCTCACTTGCATACTGCTTCTCACATTGTGCACTTGATTTCCCGCCCATCCACTTGATTTCCCGCGCCCCCGGCCTGCGTTGGCCCTGCCTGCGGTGGCGCCGGCTTTTTGCCGGGTTTTTGTTTTCAAGCTGCTTGCCTGCGCTCGCTGGCTGCTTGCCGGCCTACCTCCAGCTTCTTGCCTGCGCTCGCTGGCTGCTTGCCGGCCTACCTCCAGCTGCTTGCCGGCCCCTTTGGGCTGCCTTTGCATTACAAACGGGAAATTGATAATCAGTTTGATCATCTGATTATCAATTTCCCCGTTTGTAATGCAAAATGACTGAAAAATGGCAAACTTCGCAAGGCTATATTATCCGCATTTTACAACATTTCGCAAAGAAACTTTGGAATATTACTAATTTTGTGATGCTCTTTCAAACTGAGATGAATTTTTTGTCCAGACTTGTCTAGATCAAAATTTCACTCAAAAGGGGAAAGGTCTATTCTAGCATCCATTTTCCACAAATATTAAGATGAAAATATGATAATGATAAGTCGGTTCAGAGAATAGGAAAATACATTTTAGTAACAGGGTATTTAACTTGACAGGAAAATATGATTATTTGGTCAATTTTGACACATGTTATTTATTTATTTATTAAAAAAACACCAAAAACCATGATTGATAACATCTGCTCAAAACCTTCAAAAAAGAATGAAATTTCCTATCAAATATCATCAAGTCAGTGTATTGAGACAGATCTATTTTCGGTTATTTTGTTGTGTTACGGATCATAACAATGCATATTTATAATAATTACGCATGCATATATTATACAGCACCCACGGTTCCTGGCATTCTTGCTGTTCTTAGTGTTCTTGCTGTTCCTGGTGTTCTTGCTGTCCCTGGCGTTCTTGCTGTTATTATTTTTGTTATTATGTTAATATCAAGTCTTTATTATCAAAAAGTCACATCAGATGTGTAACTGTACAAATTCTAAATTTAATATTTACGGTTAAAATGTAACTACTTGTCAATTATCTATTCTAATCTATAATGTAAGAATCTATATCAGTTTAAAATAGTTAAATAGACAACTGTTAAGAAACGATCGTTTGAATCTTTCTGTTCTAACTTGTGGTAAAATAAACTTACAAATAACTTACACAAGGAACAGCGCGAGAACACCAGGAACACTAAGAATGGCGGAAACACTAAGAACGGCAAGAACACTAAGAACAGCAAGAACACAAGAAACGGCAAGAACGCAAGGAATGGCAAGAACCAGCAAGAACACAAGGAACGGCAAGAACGCAAGGAATGGCAAGAACGCAAGGAACGGCAGGAACCAGCAAGAACACAAGGAACGCAAGGAACGGCAAGAACACAAGGAACGGCAAGAACACAAGGAACGCAAGGAACGGCAAGAACACAAGGAACGGCAAGAACGCAAGGAACGGCAAGAACGCAAGGAACGGCAAGAACGCAAGGAACAACAAGAACGC